AACAGGAAACCATAGTGGAATTGTGGTGGCCTGCTTTCTACCAAGTAATTTGGGACATGGTGGCATAACCTTTAATGTTAAAAGCTGTTTCCAAAACATTGCATATTTCTGGCACACAACATCTTTTATTACATGAGCTGAGATTATGTTGCACAGCAGAGGCTGGCTATGCCAATAGCTGATCCTGATCTTCTTGCAGTAGGTATCACTTCAAAAGGTTTTACAGCTTCTGCAGGTTGCACACATGCGATTAAGTACTTATAACTCTTGCACAGATGTCCTTCGGAAACTCTAGCCAGTAATTTCTTAAAATTGTTCTGCTTATCAGCACCACATGTCATCAATTGTGAATGGTGCTTGAGTGGAACAGCAAATCTGGGCTCAGTCTCAAACAGGGTTGCAAGCAGGTGAACTGGCTCAGTGTAGTTTGCGAGGGCTAGCAGCAGAGGGAAAAGGTTGGTACAGATATCACAAGGCCACAGAGAATCAATTCTTGCAATTGCTCATGTGTTTGTCTGTTACTGAACACCGAGACCAATAAACTTTGCACTTTTGAATGAGGTAGATTGATAATAATAATAATAATATTCCTTGCATGTGATACAGCGCCTTATCACATCGTTGGGATGTCTCAAAGCGCTTCATTGAATATACTGTCTCTAACCAATACTCTACAGGATTCCATATTAAAATAATGAAAGTTATTATTGGGCTTTGTTTGCTGTTCCAGCTGCTTATGGAATGATTGAAATAGCTGTGCCAATGGGTTTCGTTCAGTGGTTGTGTGACTCACAGTTCCAATAGCTGCAGTGGAACTGAACCAAAGAAAAAATGGCAGTGTAAAGTGTGCAAGATCTGCAAGATATTAATATTGTTAGGTTGCTGAAAACATGACTGTGTTGCTTTACACATTCCTTGAAGGATATAAAGCTCAGTTCATACGTTAGGTGAATTTCAATTCACAGTGCATGACTGGGGAAGCGCAACATTATTTGAGGTGCAATTTGTTTTTCCTAAATTAATGTATTCGCTTTGGTTTAACAGTTGCTTTCAAAGAAACTATATTTTTGGTATGATTCTTTTGTCCATAAAATATACAGTCAATTTACTTTACAGTACATTCTGTGAAAGCTTTGAGACGTCTCAATGACATGTTAAGGCACTATATCATTTCCATTTCCCATTTCCCATGACCATTTCCCCCCTGCTCGGGTCCTGACCCAACTGTCCAGCGCCTTGGGATGTCCTCCCGATGTGAAAGGCGCTCTATAAATGAATCTTGTTGTTGTTGTTGTATATCAAATGCAAGTATTATTATGTTCCAGTGGGCAATGTAATGTTTTTGAAAAAAAGGAAAATTGCACTTTAATAAGAATGACCCTTACATTTGATATAGCGCCTTATCACATCTTCTAGAGATCTCAAAGTGCTTCACATTGTAGTAAGGAAACTTGCCCAACATTTCGCTCTGCCAGGAATCGAACCCAGGTCCTCTCGCTTGCGAGGCGAGCGCTCTAACAACTACGCTACAGGTCTCCACTTTGACCTCAGTGATAATATTGTGGCCAATGTCAAGAGGCAGGAAGAAAGATGAGGGGAGAAAAGTAATGTAAGTTGGCTCTAAATTGGACAGGGTTATTTTAAACCTGATTACTTTTTATAAAATGGTCACTGGGCTCAAGTTAAAGAAGGATCAGTTTTAAGACTGATAACCAGTGGAAAAAAATGTGTTTATTGTTTGTGTACCAACTACTGGGTATGAATGAAATTACTTCCCTCATAAAATATTTCACAATCTTGGAATACCACTAAATACAACAAAATATGTTGCTTTGAAATATTGTGAGAGAGAAGAGAGTACCGAGGTATAGCAAGGCACAATGGTGGAACCACTACATCAAGATCACCAAATGGCTTCTTGTGAAGACAGAAATTCAGTGTGGAATTGAAGGGGACCCAAGGGGTGTTTAATGGTAGTTTTGATGTGTGAAATTTGTGAAAGTTCAGTGTGCTTCTCCACTTGGCCACCGTCAAAGGTGCCTTGACATAGATTCTTCTGGGGATCCGTATTAAACGAACTTATGTCAACAACTGCATGGTTCTTGATTAGCTTCCACAACAATTCCTGTGCGCACTTAGCTAACTTGCTTTATTTCAATGCACTTGTCATTGTAAAACTTGTAAATAAAGCAGTTTTGTTTGCGAAGGTGAACATTTCAGTGGCAGAAATAGCGGCTCCTGTCAACAGGTCGAGGAAGCTGGAAAATGAGTAACGGCTTTGGTATTTCATTTTTGAAACCTAAACTTTTTCAAATTCAGCTGGATTTCCCTCGCACCAAATTAAACTTTGCCACGAGGCGGGTGTGCTCCTCAAGGGGGAATTAATAAAAACTGGAGGCTTTTTTTGCACAGGATAACGAAAGAAAAGTAAACAAGCGATTATTCTTGATTGACGTAATTTAACCCATTATATATGTACGCTCTAAAATTCTCCAACGAACAAATGCAGCAGTAGCTTTATTACTGCGACTTATTCATAATTCTCGTATTTACAACAGAAGGAGGCCATTTGGCCTATCACTCCCATGTTAGTGCCAGCATCTCTACTGGAGCTAACCACTGCCATCTCAAATCCTATTCTTTCTCTTCAAAGAATCATAGAATTATACAGCACAGAAGGAGGTCATTCGTGTTATCGTGAAAAGAGCTACCCAAATCAATCCTACTCTCCCGCTCTCTCCCCATAGGCCTGCAAATTTGTTCTCCCCAACTATCTTTCTACTTCTTGAAAGTTGTTATCGAACCCTGTTATGCATTCCTAATTTCCTTTTAACTGTTATGATCTCATCCCCAGTAACCACTTGTGACATCTCACCTCTAAACTCCATCAGTGAGCAGTGTTTTAACCTGTTTATCTCATCAATGATATTTGCAAGTGTAGATATGTTCAACTGCAAATGAAAACAACTTGCATTTGTATCGCGCCATTGACGTGGGGCAGTGTCTCGGAGCGCTTAACAGTGAGCGCGGAGCCTGATGCTGAGTGTGTAGGATTGTCCTAGCTGGGCATACACATTAGATACATAGATGGGAAGTAGTGAAAAGATGCCCAAAGATCCATCAAGTTTGACTGCAGAAAAATCTCCCCTCCCACCCCCAACTACCTCACAATATACACCTATGGATCTCTCCTGGTGCTGGCAACTTGCATGCTCCTAGGATAGGCAGAAATACTGTGATGATGTAAACATACTTCATACTGGTAAACAGTACAGTTACTGTTATACAGTTGCCCCATATATTTTGCTCTCATTAATTTTACTCTATGCTTCAAACCTATGTTGCAAACTTGTGGGATTTCCATATTAAAGTGTAATTGGAATGCTCTTTGGATGCTGTCCCAAAATCCAACTGACTTGTTTCTTCGCTCTGTTTTCAAACGGCTGCAATAAACCAACCTGATCTGTCTTCTGACCTCCTACTCCTCAGCTTGCTTGGGGTTCCACAACATTCCTGTGAAGCGCTTTGAGATGTTATGCAATGTTAAAGACACCATGCAAATGCAAGATGCTGCTACTGTTGAATGACCAGAGCATATAAACTGAAGGATATAATGTGAGACTTTGAGATGCAGATGTGGATAACTGTGGGAATAGTGAAGAAATTAGTTGAGTTTTGTGGTCATGTATAATCAAGTGTTCAGTTACTGGGGAATCTGAATTAACACAAAGGAGCTACCTGTTTGACCTATCTTCTTTTGGGGTTAAAAGGACTTTCTGGTAGTTACTCACCACTGGGCAGGTTCTGTACTTCGATATTCTATAACTAGGTATACATGCTGGATACATACACTTCAACCAGTGAATTCAAATAAAAATATCAAACCTGCAATTTTTGTAGTTATTTTCATTCACAGATGTTGAACAGAGCTCATGAAATAAAATTCGGACTGTAAAGGTGAGATCATCCCGCACTGCAGTTATTTTATTATATTTATCTTGCCACATCAGTTAGACATTATAATTCGAAATGGTGCATTTTGAAGGTTCCTGTCTGAAATGAAAATGTCTGACCATAAAATCACACTTTGCAGCAAATGTACACTGCGCGATTTATAATCGCTATTTATAATCGTGTGTATATATATATTATATATACATATATAAATAATATTACAAGGGAGAAAGACTGATTACGTAGGTTGTTCCAGAGCACAGAAATTACTCTTGGTGATTGAAGACCAGTGCATTTTGCTGGGATTTTCTTTTGGAGGATCAGAATGATTTGAGAAGGTTTAATCTCTGGCAGGGTAATAGCAGCCAATTGCGTACATTCGCTTTAAATTTGGAATATCAGCGTAGAGCCCATAAGACAGACCGCCCCTTCACAAGCACTAAAACATTGGCCAGTGATTGGATCCCGGTGAGTGGTGCTCTGAGCATGTATGAATGTCCATGTGCACATGTATGTGTGCAGTGCTCCACTTCGTCCAAGCACAGAGCAGAGCTGAATTTATAATACAAATCGCTTCTTCTACTTCAGAGCTGTTCCTGGTATCCCGCTGATGTCCGCAGTACATCTGTGGTGCTGTAAACTTGTTGAGGGGATAAAGTTCATGGTGTGGCTCAGCATTGTGGGTTGACAGACTTGAGTCAATTAAAATGCTTGCTCAATTTTAGCACCATCTCAGCAGAATCGAGACTGTTTTGATACTCGTGTATGTCTGGTGTTTTTTTTTCCTTTTAGAATATGTACCTAAAGTTGCATTTGTTCAGTTAGAATCGTTTTGCGGCATGTTTTCAAGATATTTGGGCAGTGAATTGTATTAATATGTCCTCTAGGCCCTTCTTGTTGAAGCTCTCTCAAACGCTTGCATACGTGTCTATATATACACATTGAAGTACACAATACTTTTAAGTGTTGAGAAATAACTGTTCTGTTTAGAAGTTCTGGTTATTTAAATATAACAGACTAGTTCATTTGCAATTTTCTTTTATTAGGTGTGAAATCCCAGAATCCACTGCCAACTCTTGAGGGTTCCATCCAAAACGTTGAGTTGAAGTACTGTAGCACATCATTGGTAAAATGTGTTTCGGGGACCATGGGATCAATAAAAGTGTGTGCCAAAGTCCCAGGTATGTGCAGCTGGAACATGTAAAAAGTTTATTGCCTGTACAGGAGGATTGGCCTGACTCTTTACAAGGAAAGTCTCTGAAATGTGCTTTGTCTGCCATGAATCAGCTTTTTCCCCAATAGGTTTTGTTGTTGTTTGTCAGTAGTCCACTTGATTATGTTAGCAATGCTACCTAAAGAAGTGCAAGGAACGAACAGTTTAAAGAAAAAGATTATTATTTATGATCTAGATCCAAAAGCTTTTGAGTTTTTTTAATATTCCCCCAGGTTAGGCCGTCATAAATTGCTGCATTTCTGAGCACCGACTGCGTAATTTTGAAATAATTCAGCTATTTCTGGTAGGCCCACATTCCTTACAGCTTCAACACCCCGTAACATGCTTACAATAAAACAAAAATGGGCTGTCTGGAATGATCCCTTGTAGCAGTTACTGAAGACACAACATTGACTAATAGAAATTTGTTCATGTTATTATGTTAACTAGTCTTGCACATGCATACATTTTGATTTGGACCTTTCAGTCTGCCCTGTATATAACTAAAGTGAATCCCAGTATAATGGAAGCTCATTGCTACCATTGACATTGCATCTTGTTAATGCGTGCTTGTTGTTGTGCAATGTGATTCAAAAAGGAAACGGACTTACTTTAGGAATTTATTTTCTGAAGTTTAGAGCTGTGTTTTAACTTTTGGATATTATGCGTGTTATACAATGACCGTTTAGGTAACAGAAATGTTTAGTTTTGAGCGCAACACTTATTTTACCATCAAAAATGTTCTTGGTTCAGGTTAACGCACACCTTCCTTTGGCTTCCAAAATTACCAATTTCCGATGTCAAGATTTCTGATATTCAGTACATTCCTGGCGCAAATAATTCAGCGGTTGCAAGATTTGCATCGTATCAATCTGATTTCAGATGCACAGATCATCTTGCTGAGAGTGGACATGGATAATCAATCGTTCAGCAGGTTCTTTCCACCTTTCAAAGCTTTGCTATCTTGTGAGCCATCAGAAATCTCAAATGGAGGCAAAGCAAGACCTGATTTTGTTAGGTGCTGATTTCTGACCGATTGCAAGAGTCCCCTCCTTAACAACAGAGCGCATGCTTCAGAGCACGGTAGCCCTCCTCCCTAAAGAGAGCGAGGTTGAGAAATTCCACCTGGATCTAGTTTGCATCTATTGATGTAGCATTTTAAAGCAGTCATGAATTGGCAGATTCTTAAACGCAGCCTTAATTTTTCAAGCCCCTTTTTCTGTTAAGTTCTTTCAAAGAAAGACAGCTTCAAGTTAAGGTTACATTCAACAATTTGCCAAATTCAGCACCATTAGCAGAGTATATCTGGACCCAGGTGGAATTTCTCTCCACAAATGTCTACAGATAATGTTGAAGTGCAGGATATTACGTTGTGGTATCAGTTGCAAACTTTTATGAGGAACGTATAGTTCCTCACCACCACACTTGAAATAAATCACGAGTTAGATCAGTGTTCCCAGTGCTGGATAATTTGCAATGAGGTATCAATTTCAGCCTTCACCAATGCTCTTGGATTGGTAGCACATTTCTCCCTGACATTTTTGAGGAACCCACATTTAGGGAACATGGATCCTAGGCTGCTGGTCTCTAGTGGAGTTCATGTGATCAGATGATGACGCTCAGGTTCCACATTCCTGCCTGATAAGAAGGCATAGAAAAATTAGTATGTTAGGATTGGGAGTGACGATTCCTCCATTCACTCCCAAATGCAGTCGCAACCCTCGTGCACGTGTTTGTCACCTCCCGCTTGGATTACTCCAATGCACTCCTCGCTGGTCTCCCCAGCTCCACCATTCACAAGATCCAGCTCATTCAAAAACTCTGCCGCCCGCATACTGACCCGGACCAAACACCGTACCCACATCTCACCAGTGCTGGCCCAGGCTCCACTGAACCGATTGACTTCAAGATCCTCACATTCGGGTTCAAATCCCTTCACTCTCTGGCACTTCCCTACCTCTCCGACCTCCTCACTCCCCAATCCACCACCTGGCGCCTCCGCTCAACTGGCACCGGCCTCCTGATCGTCCCTCGCACCATCTGCCACACCATCAGAGGTCGTGCTTTCAGCCACTGTGCCTCAAAACTCTGGAACACTCTCCCTCAATCCCTCCGCCTTGCCCCCTCTCTGCCCTCTTTCAAGTCCCGCCTGAAAACTTTCTTCTTTGACTGTGCTTACGGCACCTCCCCACTCCCCCCGGCTTGGAGGCAGGCTCTGCCACTGTTAAGCGTTCTGAGACACTACCCTGCGCGGAGGGTGCTATATAAGTGCAAGTTGCTGCTGTTCTTGTTTTAGCTACAATCAAGAACTGCTGGACAAGAACCTCGAGAGCTGCTTGTCCCACAGAGCGAATATGAAAAAGCAAAAGCCCTCTCAGTTTATCCAGTTTGTTTCTTCTCCAGAACAATAACAACAACAACAAAATGGAACATTCTCCCTCAATCCCTCCATCTTGCCCCCTCCTTCCCCATCTTCAGGTCACATCTGATCCCTTCCTGTTTGACCATGTCTACGGTCGCCCCCCCCCCCCCCCCCCGCGATGCCCCTAGCTCGGCATCAGGTTCTGCCACTGTCAAGCGCTCTGAAACGCTATCCTGCGTGAGGGGTGTTATATAAATGCAAGTTGTTGTTGTTGTCCAGAACCAGCACAGTTTCCCTGTTATAGAGTATATGGCTCACTTTTGTTCCTGAAGGAAAACTTTGCAAGACTTTCCCCTGCAGGTGGATATTTTCTTCACAGGTTATAAAGATGATATCCCAAGTAGCTATGGATTTTCAGACTTCCATTGTTCAATTTTGTCTATACAACTGACATTTCTACGGTCCCAGCACATTGTGGTATACACTCAGCTGCTGTCTTTATCACCTTGAACTCTGTTCCAAACCAAACCGTTATTGTAGCTTTTATTTAAAGGCAGAATTAACATGACCTCAACTGGGTTTGTTCCAGCGCCTTGGGACGTCCTCCCGACGTGAAAGGCGCTATACAAATGTAATCTTGTTATTTTTGTTGTTCCATGTACATATCACTCTTGAGTGGAGGCTAATTTCTTCCAATCTCTACAATGCTTCTTCAGTGTTAATTCTAAACTTATGGTACACTTTTCATAGCTATATGATATCTATACTTCTCAGCATTTTTTTTTGCAGTGAGTCATGGTGAAAGGTGCACTTGATGTTTGGATAGAGCAGGATGATCTGAAAGCTAATCACACTGGAGATCCTGTTGCTGAGACCCAGGTGGATTCAGCAATAAAAAGATTCATCTCAATGCAGATAAATGCAGCAATGCAAATTCATTTCAGCTCCACTGCCAAGCCAGTCCCTCGAAAGTTTGGTGGTGCATTGGATGCCTCGAGAACTTTCAAAGGACCATTTAATATAACAATAAAAAAGTAACACCCAGTTTCAGAGCTCTACGCACGTTTTATTACTGGTCCCAGACAAAACGTAATGAGGAGCAGGAAGCATAAATCAAGCATCCTATTCCACATCATGTTTTGTCTCATCTTTCTTTCCCCCCCACCCCCACCCAAGGTACTCTTTTTTAAAAAAAAAGTCACTTCTGTTCATCTCTCTTTGTTATATGATCAGCTCAAGGTTACTTAGAATGATATGTCATGGAAACAGGCCATTTGGCCCAACTAGTCCGTGCTGGTGTTTACACCCCATATGAGCCCCTTCCTTCCTATTCCCCTCTCCTACACCCCTCTATTCCCTTTTCCCTCATGTACATGCATTAGGCTTTCTCTTAAATCCATTGCTGCTATTTGCTTCGAAGTCAACTTCTGGCAGTAAGTTCCATAGCCTGTCAACATCCACCTCATCGAAACCTTTCATAATCTTAAACCCTTCTATCAGGTCTCCTCTCAAACGTCTTTTCTCTGAGAGAAAAGCTGTAACATGTCCAATCTTTTTTGATCGCTATATCCACCAGCTTCTGAACCTCGTTCCCATGCAAAATGCTTTTGTAGCACATGCAAAAGGAAGTTGTGGTGATTTCACTAAACTAGGATCTATTGTGGCCTTCAAAGTGCTGGGCAAGTGGCTGAGCCACAGAGCGCCCTTCCCATTGTGAGTCATGCATATCAGTGGTAGTTGCAACCGAGGCAGCCTTATCCTTGTTGCAGGAAGACAATGAATGAGAACAAAAATGAGGGAGGTTTAAAACAAAAACAAATATTTTTTTATCTTAACTTTAGGAAGACATGGTGGTGCAAAGGAGAAACTGATTCCTCTAATACAAGGGCCTTCAGACACACGAGAATTGCATAAGAGCAAATGGCTGAATGAAAGTAGAAAACCCGAGTCTCTATTAGCGCCTGACCTCATCGCTTTCACGGCCCAGATTCCTCAGCAAATGGATAGCTGCTACAACTCTGGTAAGTGTTAACCACATGCGAATTATGCCTTCTTCTTTTGATACCTGTCACAGTTGGAGGAACACGCTTCACTGAGCTGAGCTAAGGCTCGTTTTTCGCTTCAAATAGTCTTACAATCTCCTTGAACCATCATGTTCTCTGTGGAGTTGAGTTATGAAGTACGAATAGTTTATTTTTAGACAGAACCTAAAAGTTTCTGGGTGTGTGGAACAAAGAACAAACTATCCTTAACAAAAGCTGGAATAGTTAGTCTGAAAACCCCGTGTGGGATTGGGAAGGGCGGAGAGAAAGTATAGCAACATTTGGATAATGCGAAAAATTGGAAATAAGTGGACACAATCTAATTTTTGAGGGAGTCTTGCACCCCCTTCCCCCCATTTCTCACTTCTGTTTTTGTCAGAATCCATATCTCCTGTTTGGCCTCTTTGCAGTCAGTACGTCTGAAAAATACAAATGAAAACATATTATTGTCCTATTGGGAGGTAAAAATGATTATGGTAAGCATTTGGAAAAGCTTTTAGGTGTAATCACAGCTCTGGGAATATGGAAGCAGAAATAAAACTCTACTGTGAAGGGGTAAGGCTTACTTGAGTTTTATTGGGCATGGTTTAGAAATCACAGGTGGAATCGAGTTTAAGATTTGTTGCAACGTGGGACGTGAAACATTACAGGCAAAACCAAAGCTTTGGACCAACGCGTTCAAGCCTCTGGCCACCCATCTTCTTGAATTAAATATAGACCCTCCCTTTGGATTTGGAACAGGCATTTAAGTTGAAAATGATCGGAATAGCTTTGGGCTGAAACATTGCATCCTGGATGATGTTGGGTTTTTAGGCGAGAAAAAATGGTTGTTCAATTCCCTCCTTCCTATGGCCTTGTACGTAATTTTGCCTGGAATTTTTTTTGTTCCTCCACACAGATGGACCATCACAGGGTTATGAATTTCGAAACCATGATTTCTACTTTGAAATGTGACCTTTATTTCATTTTCTTGGGAAGTGCTTTGGCTTCATAATACATTTCTCATACTGAGCGAGTAGTTTGATGCTTTTTTTTAAGAATCTGGCCGCTTGTTAATGATGAGAGGGCCTGCAGGACTGTACCACAGAGCCGTCTGGCTGTGAGATGGGCAAATTATTGTTGCTTATAACCAGTGATGCAGTGCAGAATTACATGGGCTGAAAAACAATAATATCTGCATACATCGTATTTGCTTGGGTGTTGTATTGAATTTCATAGAGTGGTACGGCATGGAAACAAGCCATTCGGCCCAACTTGTCCATTCTCCACATTAGTTTTGTGTGCTGCGCACCAGTTTATTCTCCAACAGCTAGTTTATATTCCTCACAAGTCCCCACACCTTCTCTTCCTCTCACCATTACCTCCACTATTCCCTTGCGTGAGTTCAAGTATGTCCTTTTTTTTAAAACAGCAAAATCTATATATTATGAAAATATAATAAAAGATATATTCTGAGCAAGTCTTATTAACTGTTTAATTTTATAGTGCCTGAGAAGGTCAGTCTGTACCTACCGATTGCTGTGGAGAGGAGCGCAATGTTAGCAGAAGTATGAGAAGACTTTTAGTCCAGAATGGTGTAGGATAATTTGGGGTTGGGGGAAAGAGAGAGAGGAGGAAAGAATCCTTGGTGGGAAGGTGCAGCAACGGGTGATTAAAATGGACATGTAGATGAAAAATTTGACAGTGCTGATGATTTCCTCAATTAAAAAAAATTGTGGTTTTCAGTAGAAATGTGTGAAAATCGTGCCACTCTCTCCCGTGCTACATTTCCTCAGTTTCCCCTCGAGATTAGCCCAAGCCCTGTTTGAAATTGCTGCCAGTTTTTTTTGGAAAGAGGCTCCCAGTAGAATTCTACTTCAGAGGGGGGGTGGACGGAGGAATTATTCTATTGATGACCGATCAAGCTGCCAGGATGATTTCATGCTGGTAGCATTTGTTCACAGGAATTCATGAAAAAATGCAAACTGCAGCAGAACACTGCAACTATTTGTTGCTTTTAGTTGTAGGCCAAATGAAGAAGTGCAGGTGTTTGAGAAGCACAGTCCTGGGGGATCTCATGATGGTAGATTTCAAGAAGAAAGTCCATGTGTTTGCAGACTAAAGCAGCAGCTGTGAAAGATTTATGCTTTTGTCAGGACCCTAAGATTTAAAAATGTAACATTTAATCAAATACAAGGAAAGCAGAACAAATGTTAAAGATGTTGCGTATGAGTGTTCGGGTTTGATCTCTTTACCATACCAGCAGCTTGTGGGAATATGGACACAAAGTGCTGCGTAATCGTAATTTAAATATGGTAAACGGGGTTCTGTGAGAGAAAATCACAGGAACCTTTTATTGCGTTTGATGCTTGCAGTGAACCACACTGGAACCTGCAGTTATTTTGAAAGCCTATTTGTCAATCTATAAGTGGTTCAGGGGCAAGTATCTCAGATTGAAAGTCACAGTGAAAAGTAATAATAATAATAATCATCCTTACATTTGACATAGCGCCTTTCATGTCAGGAAGACATCTTAAAATGCTTCACCAGATATACTATAAAGTGAGGTGTATGTGGTGAACCCGTACTAAAAATAGGATGTAATTACTTTTAATGTAATTCTATTAAAAGTTTCATCTGTTGAATCTTGTTTCTGAGTCCAGCATTTTGAAAATACAAGAGCAGAGGTTTGCAATTTCTCTGTTATCTGAATAGCTTTATTTTCCTACTTTTAAGAAAAACATACTCGGTACCTTAAGTGACTTATGCAACTGTTGTAGATCCAGACAAGCTCTGTCAGAGCTTTGGGTCCGTAAACCAAAACCTTGTGTTATAACGGGACGTGAAGACCAAATAACCACTGAAAGGTCACGTCCTACATGGTGCTTGGACACGCAGTTAGCGAGAAAGCGCGGCTGATGCCAATTCGAAGAAAATGGACACCTCTGACCAAACTTGATGCACCCTCCGTGTACGCACTGGATTCCCGCTTCTTTTTTTAAAAAATGGCTGATTTCCGAGGACCCCACCAACGTCACTGCCTGTGAGCGTGTGCAAGTGCTTCCCGGATATGTCGCATATGCGCAGGTCACAGTAAATGACGTAAGCAGAGACCTAATGGCCATATAAAAGAGCACTTTATAATGAAGTTGTACTACATATTTAATGTTGTTTAAAAAAGTGTAACCTACTTCACTATTAGCATCATTGCAGTATTAAAGACGGGTTCTGTAGACAGGACCCGTGTCCTTTCTGCAGTACCTTGTTCAGAACCACGTGTATTTCCTGTGACTTCAAGCAAAATCTCACAGATATCCCGAAATTTCAATATGTCTTTGAAGAATTGGTTAAATATTGTGGGAGGCAATGGTAAGTGCCTGAGATTTATTTCCCTACTCTGTTGGGTCACCTGCTGTTTATGTCTTCTTGCAAGTCCCATTGAACAGTGTTATTGATTGATTGTATTTAAGGGTTTTAATGGTAAATAGTAACAACAACAACTTGCACTTATATGGCGCCCTCCACGCAGGGTAGCGTTTCAGAGCGCTTAAAATGGAAAGGTTACGGTGACCAAAGGTAGGGATTAAAGATGTCCACTTAAACCATAAAAATTGCAGTTTGTGTTGAGTTTATATTCCCCTTGAGTTAAATTCACTGAAATAAAGAGCACATTTATCAGTATTTGTGAGGATTGAAGCTCAGACCTATAGTAGTCTTTGTGGAATATGATGGTATTAATTTGATTATCCTGGCTGTTGAAATATCTGTTGTTATATGGTAGATCATTGGTTTTGAATAAATATAACCATTGCTTGTTTTCAACTTTTATGCACCGATGTGGTATATAATAATGATAATAATAATAATCCTTGCATTTTGATATAACGCTTTTCACATCTTCTCGAGGTCTCAAAGCACTTCACAGAATATGCTGTAAAGTGAATTGACTGTATATTTGTGGGCGAAACGCAGCAGCCAATTGTGCACAGCAGCGTCCCACAAACAGTCGTGGATTGAAAATGATCAATTTTTTATTGTTTTGTTTTGGAGGGATTATTATTAGGCGTGTGGAGTAAGGAAACTTACCCAAGGTTTCGCCCTGCCTGGAATTGAACCAGGTGTCTCGCTTGCAAGGCGAGTGCTCTAACCACTGTATGTGTTCCACTGGAATAATACTTCATCCAATTTAAAGCTGTAAAACCTTCAAGGTGGTCAGTCTAATACTGCTAACCTAAACTGACTACTCAGCTTTGGAGTATGTTGATTATGGATATATAGGAAATAATATCTTGGGATACAGTATATAGTTTGGGACATGACATGTACAAGCTACTGCCAGGATGGTGAAGGCAAGCTGGATGGACCTTGGTCTTCTTTCGACTAGCATTTCTTATGCTGTGAAAATCGCATTAAGATGATACAAATACTACAATGCAACTGTAGTTTTCTACTGTGTGAAGACATTTTGTTCTTAGAGTTCAGTTGTACAGTAGATTCATAGATTCATAGAATGTTGCGGCACAGAAGGAGGCCATTTGGCCCATCGAGTCCGTGCTGGCTCTTTGACAGAGCAAGTCACTTTCACTAACCCCAATCACCAGCTTTCTCCCCATAACCAGTAGAAGTTTTGCAGAGTGTCACAAAGCAACAAACGTGAAGAACATTGGCCAGACTGGAAAAATTCTATCATTTATTTGGTAAACCACTGAGTAAAACCTTCTGTTAGGGGAAAATTTAGTTATTTTCAACTCTCAAACAGTTTAAGTCAACGTCTACGTCTACGTCTATAAATGGAATCTTGTTGTTGTTGTTGTCTGACTCTGTACTTCAAAATGTTAACAATGAGCTGCATCCAAAATAAATACAACAGTGTTCTTCATGTATAAGAATTTCTTGTTGTATTTAACAGTAGGAGTCGTGGATACTGAGCAAGAAGTAGAGAAGTCTGCAGTCAACTTTGGAGCTGACTGCAGTTGAAGAGTAAGGTTTTGGGAAAGCAG